CGCGGCTCGGCCCCAGTCTCGGCCCCCTTACTGTGCAGGAGGAGAGTGCCCTGGGTGCGGATTCAGCTTGGCCTTTTTCTAGTTGAAGCGGCCTGAGCAAGCTAGGCCCCTCTCTAGGTCTCAGTTTCTTTTTTTTTTTTCTCAGTTTCTTCATCAATAACAAGAAGGGTAGAAATACCTCCCCGACCAGGTTGTTTGACGGGTTAGTTGAGCTTCTGCAGGTAAAACGTGGCACGTGCGTCTGCAGAGAGTGAAAGCCATCATTGTGGTTTTTTTTTTTTTTTTTTTTTTTTTTTTTTTTTGATACACGGTTTCGGTCTCTTGCCCAAGCTGGAGTGCAGTGGTGCGATCAGAGCTCACTGTAATTGCTTCCCGGGCTCAAGCGATCCTCCCACCGCAGCCCTATCCCCTCACCCACTCCGAGTAGCTGGGACTACAGGCGCGCGCCACCCCACCGGCATTATTATTTTTTAAATTTTTTATTGACGGGGTTTCACCATGTTGGCCAGGCTGGTCTTGAACTCCTGAGCTTAAGTGATCCTCCCGCCTCCGCCCCGCTCGGCCTCCCAAAGTGCTCGGATTACTGAGCCACCGCGCCCGGCTGTTCTTATTTATAATACTTATTGAGCATTTACTATGTGTCAGGAACTGCTAAGTGCTCTGCATTTTTTTATGAGACAGGGTCTCTGTCACCCAGACTGGGGTACAGTGGCGTGATCTAGGCTTTCCAGCAACCTCCGCCTCCCAGGCTCAAGCGATTCTCCCGAGTAGCTGGGATTACAGGCGAGCGCCACTACCGCCCAGCTAATTTTTGTATTCTTAGTAGAGACAGGGTTTCGCTATATTGGCCAGGCTGATCTCGAACTCCTGACCTCAAATGATCCACCCACCTTGGCCTCCCAAAGTGCTGGGTTTACAGGCGTGAGCCACCGCATCCGGCCGGCCTCTATCTTTTTTTTTTTTTTTTTTTTGAGATGGCGTCTCGCTCTGTCGCCCAGCCTGGGGTGCAGTGGCGCGATCTCGGCTCACTGCAAGCTCCGCCTTCTGGGTTCAAGCGATTCTCCCGCCTCAGCCTTCCGAGTAGCTGGGACCACAGGCGCATGCCACCACTCCCGGCTAATTTTCTGTATTTTTAGTAGAGACGGGGTTTCACCTTGTTAGCCAGGATACTCTTGATATGCTGACCTCGTGATCCACCCGCCTCGGCCTCCTAAAGTGCTGGGATTACAGGCGTGAGCCACAGCGCCCGGCCTATATTCTTTAACTTACTTTCACAACTCTATGAGGGAGATTCCATTATTCCCATTTTACAGATGAGTAGATTTGCAAGCGGCTTGGGTCCCTGTGGTTTCATGGAGGTTGCGGTCAGTGCGCCTGGAGCCATCCTGGGGCTTAGCACCGGTTGCAGTTCCGGGGACGGCAGGGACTGTGGGACAGCATTTTTAAGATTCCCAGGGTCCGAAAAGGCTGCAGGTGGGTGGAGGAAGGAAGTGAGCAGGCTGCGGGAGTGCGCTGCAGACCTGGAGTGTAAGTCTTCGCCCTCGGTTTTAATCGGTGTCAGAAACTCAAACTCAGCTAAAAGTGCTACTTTTACCGTGCTGCTTCCTCTGTCCTCGAGCGTGCATTCTGAGTCCGGGTGGGAGGCAGCGGGTCGACCTGAGGGCGCCCCCTCCTCGCGCCTTCACCTTCAACGGCTTCAGGCCCTCAACTTCCTCTCTCCCCCGCACCCCTTCCCGCCAGGACTCGAGGAGACACTAATTCCCAGATGAAAAACAAGAAACTGAAATCCAGGGCGGGGATGCGGATAGAGCAGGCCCAGCAAGAGGCCACCAGAGTCCCCGCCGTCCGAGGTGAGAACGGACGCGGCCACAACAAAGGCATCTTATTGGGACAGGAAATCGGGATTTCCCGAGTCCTCTTTCGAAGTTGAGGCCTTGTAGACTCTCACCTTTCCTGCCCGGCTACGTGCTGGGCGCCGGAGGGCAGGGGGAGTGCGGAGAAGCAGCTCCACTCTACCGCCCCAAGTCTTGCCGGCAGTTCCCGAAGAAAAGGTTGGTTTGGGGCGGTCGCGAAAGCGGCGCCTTGCGTGTTTTCCTGTCCTTCCCGGGTCCTTATGGCCCGGCCGGAGACTCCGCTGAGTTGACTGGGCGCCCAGGGTCCTGCCAGGGATAGTGAATGCTGGGACCTGAGATAATGCAACGTGGCGTTTCGGACTTCCCGCTGGACCTGGCCGTGGAGAGGAACTGCGTTCCCACAGGGCATCCCTAAGCGTCCTCTGTCCCCACCTATGAGGACACGACCTGGAAGTCCAGGCCACTGGCTGCCGCCTTGGAGTTGGACGTGCCGTGGATTTGCGGCCCCGACGGAGGAAGCAGGCACCTTCCCCCGCACTATGGAAGCTCGCGCCACTCGCTGCTCGAAACACCTGATTCACGGCGTCGACCCTGCTTCGCTGGGTCTGCGGACATTGGGCTCCCCAGCTTTCCGCCACAGGGTGTACGCGCCCGGGCCCAGGCGAGTGTAGGTCCCACGTGAAACTGCTGGAGCCCCGAGGAGCTTCGAACGGGAATTTGGGGTCAGAGCAGGTCCAGGTCTCAAGACAACCCCTAACTCTGTACAGTGGAATCCGGTCGTCCAGGGTCGTGACCCGGGTGAGGCAGTGCAGATTTCAGGATCCCCTGCTCCCAGCCCGGCGAAGTTTCACCCTTCCTTCCCTTGCCCACTCCCTCCCCCAGTTCCCTGGACACCGGGTCCTCGAGTCTCCCCCTCCTCCCCCACGAGGCAAAGGCCAAAGCTTGAAGCCCACGATGACGAAGGATGGGTGGGAAGGCGCCGGGCGAGTGGAGCCTCAGCCCGGTTCCTTTCCTGAGACCCTCGCAGAAGTACATCCGAGGCACTGAGAGGTTCAGTAACCTGTCCAAGGTCACACAGCTAGTAGGTGCCAGAGTCAGGCCAGTAGAATTCCAATCATTGCTTTTGCCCGGATCCTAAAGGTGCCCCCAATGTCAAATGTACTCGCCTCTCCGCGAGACCCTCGCCCCTCGCCCCTCGCCCTTGCACAGGTGCCGCAAGTAAGTCGGTGGGTCGGGGGCTGCCCTTTATCCTCCCGGCCTGCCGGGTCGAGAACCTTTGTTTATTGGCTCCCAGGGGTTCTCCACCTCAGTCACTGCCGCCCGGGGGCCCTCTGGTGACGCCCACGACCCTCCGCGCCCCTGCCGTGGCCCCTAGGGGCCCACCCAGCTCCCTGCCTAGGAGGGGCTCGGCGAGGGGCTGGAGTGCCTGGGCTGGGAGAGGGGCCTGGTGCCAAGCGCCCACTCTCCTTCTCAGGGAAAGGAATAACAGCACTTATATCCCCTTCATGCCCCAGTGCAGGCCTTTTGTTGGCGAGGGTGGGTAAGGGGTTGGGCAGAGCTAACGCTAGAAAGGCACAGGAGCTCGCTGCCCTTTATTGAGGGCTTGTTCCTCGCTACCGCATTCATAACATCTTTGCGTGCAGTTTCTCATTTAATCTTCACGACTGCCCCGCGATGTAGGCACAGTTAAGGTCCCCATTTTGCAGACAGAAAACTGAGGCCCAGGGAGATTAGGTAACAATCTGCCCTCTTAACCCCTTCCCAGTTTGTAGGTTTTGCCCCCAGTTGGAGCCTAACTAGCTGAGAACACCCTCTGCCATGTGTAAGAGGGAGTTTCTTGGGAAATTGCTAAATCAATGTCTCCCACAGTCCTTCATTTTGTGGCCCCATTATATTAACAAACACTTGCATAGCACCAGCAATGTGCCGTCTCCCTCTCAGTGTTTTATGCTTTAATTCATTTAATTTTCATAATAACCTGACAAAGCAGGTATAATTATTATTCCCATTTTACAGATGAAGAAACCGAGGCACCGAGAGGTTCAGTAGCCTGTCCAAGGTCACACAGCTAGTACATGCCAGAGCCAGACTAGTTGACTTCCAATCATTGCTTTACCCCTATCCTAAAGGTTCCTCAAATGTCAATGGCGATGTATCCACCTCATCTCCTGTCTCCTTCTCCCCTTCTGGCTCCCACTGTGGGGCAATCAGCCTTTTCGTTAGGACCTGACATGATCGTGGACCCACAGCCCCCCTTCCCCGCCCCCTTGGCGCCTCCTGCCAGCCCCATTGCTGATGGAGGCCTGACCAGGTCAGAGATTGATGAGAATGAGAGGATCTCCGAGGCCGCCTGTTTACTCTGCTGGCAGGCACACGCAGTGATTAACAGTGCACAATCCAGTTAGGACCTGAGCTCTGGGGCTGGAGGCCGGCTGGAGGCCGGGGGCAGGGAGAGGGGCCTGCCGCCTAGAGCTTCTGTTCCCTGGGGATCTTGGGGGTTTGCAAGAAGCCCCTTGAGGAGACCGAGGAGACGGAGAATGAGTAGTGCCCGGCCAGAGGGTATAGGGTGCATGTAGACAACCTTCCCTGTCCTTCTTGCCCCGCCCCCTTTCCACAGCGATAGTGGGGCCAGGCATGTCTCAGCTCCAGACCTTGTCCAAGGAAGGAAGGAATGAAGGAAGGAGGAAGGAAGACTTTTCCCAAAGGGCAACCTCCCAACAGGAAATGGTAGCAATGCAGGGAGAGAGGCAGGAGCTGGGCTGGGTCCGTCTGGGGTTTGGTCCGTCTGGGACCCTGTCTAGCACCTTGTAGAAGGGGAGTCATGGCCTCTTTCCCACCTTCAGTCTACTCTTCTGTACAGGGAGTGGAGATGGAGGCAAAGTTGGACCTGGTAGCCTCAGTGGGCTCTCCCAGCTCTGATGTTCCTTGAAGATGGGACACCTGGGACTTGACTCTGTTCTGTGTCCTGGCAGATCCCTCCATCCTCTGAGCTTCAATGTCTCTGAAAGTAAAACGGGAACTCAGGCTAGTCTAGTGTTCCTCAGTCTATTTTGTGGATGTTAGTAGGTGTTATTTATTTATTTATCTTTTTAAAAAGGCCTCTGTGATTAAATGGGAAATTAATTAGGCTTTCTTTACTGCAGGACCCTCTCCAAGCAAATACATGGCAAACGTGTGTTGAGAGTCTCTGAGAGGCAGAGAGAACGATTAGCATTTCCCAAACTTATTTCTCCACAGGATGTTTTTTTAACATGGAGCGTCTCATAGGACTGGCTTCTGAGGAACACAGGTGGGTCACTCTGGACTGGCTTATCTAGAAAACCTCCAGCTCTGATGTGATAGTTTTAGGCACCGCCCGTCACCCATTCAGCCTCTACTCCTGCCCCCTTGAAGGACTCCTTTCCCTGGCCCCAACCTTTCCCAGACACTGCCCACCTCTGGACCCCTTACTGTACTCTCTTTAGGGAGCCCTTCCTGTGCCTGGCTTCCTGTGACCTCCCTGGCTCAGTCCCCTAGAGGGCTCAACTTCATCCTGCTGCCCCTTGTCTGGTCCTTTCCAGTCCCCAGAGGACCTAAGGGGTGCTGTCTGGGCTCTTCTGGTAGCATCAGTGTGACAGCCACCCTCAGCCCCAGTACGTGGTTTTCTGGTTCCTAATCCCAGACCCTAGTCCCAAGTTTCCCAGGCTCAGCTTCAAGCCTCCCTCTTTAGCCCTCAATCAACAGACCTCATTTCCTATCCCCTACATGAGGCCTCTAGCCCCAAGTCTCCTGGCTCCCAGCTCCATGCTCCTGCACCTCGATCTGCAGCTCCAAGCCCCAGTCCCACTGCCCACTCATGGCGCCCAGCCTTCCTCTCCAAAGCAGTTTCTGAGATTCTGGGTTCTAGGGGGTTAATAGGCAGCCTCTTTCCTCTCTCCAGCTGCAGCTGCAACCTACTTGGTTTTTGGGCCTGAGCCAGGGGCCTGGGCCAGAGGAGAGCAATTGAGCACCCTGGCTGAGTGAGGGATGAATCTCAGGAGTTGAGGACAACTATTTACAGTAACACTGCCCTCAACCCCCCAGCCTGGTTCAAGGTAAGGGAACCCCTTAGAGGCAAAATTGCAGACTATGAACAGAAAATTCTAGTGAGATAAACGGTGGGAGGTGGGGGTTGGGGCCAAGGGCAGGATAAGGAGAAGACAGGAGAGGGATGGGGGTGGTAAGCCTGGTCCAACCAGTGGTCCTGAGATGGTGCTGAGGATAGGGCCTGCCACAGGGTGTCCTAGCTGGGGAATCTCTAAAGAACCATTTTACAGATGGGGAAGCTGAGGCCCTGTGATTTGCCAAAGGCTAGTTAGTGGCCAGTGCCCAACCCAAAACTGTCTCCTCATATCATGATCTCAATGTGCAGTTTCCACAGCGCTTTTTCTTCAGCACTTCCTCCTTCTAGAACTCCTTGCTGTGCTTAGCCTCTGGGGACACCCGCTCTTGGGTCTCTTCCTACTCCCCTGGCTGTTGTTCCACATTCCCCTTTGCAGATGTTCCTTGCCATCCTGCTCTGAACTTTGGAGTGTCTGGGCTCAACTATTTTTTTTTTTTTTTTTTTTTTTGAGACGAAGTCTTGCTCTGTCGCCCAGGCTGGAGTGCAGTGGCACGATCTCTGCTCACTGCAGCCTCCACCTCCTGGGTTCAAGCAATTCTCCCTGCCTCAGCTTCCTGAGTAGCTGGGATTACAGGCACGCACCACCATGCCTGGCTAATTTTTGTATTTTTAGTAGAGATGGGTTTTTGCCATGTTGGCCAGGTTGGTCTTGAACTCCTGACCTCGGTGATCCACCCACCTCAGCCTCTCAAAGTTTTTGGATTACAAGTGTGAGCCACCACGCCCGTCTGGGCTCAGTCTTTGGACCTTCATACCCACTTTCCAGGTGAGCTTATGCCACCCACACACTGATGACTCCCAAATGTATATGTCTAGCCTCCTCTGAACACCAGTCTTGTCTATCCAATATTTCCTCCTCTGTAAAATGGGAATAATAATAGCTCTACATCCTAGGGCCATGATGAGGATTAAATAAGTTTAGACATGGAAAGTGTTGGAAAAATGCTTGGGTCAGAGTGAGCCCTACGGCTGGAGCTATGCTTATTATTACCACTGTCATTATTGCTGCCTACCAGCCAGCTCCATTTGGATGTGTAGAATCATCTCAGTCATGACTCATCCCAAACCCCAAACTTGCTCTATCTGCAGCCTTGCCCATCTCAGCAGGTGGCAACCCTGTCCTTTCAGTAGCTCAGGCCAAAAATCTTTGGAGCCACCCTTGACTCCATTCTTTCTCTCACGAGCCAAATCTAATCCATTAGAAAATCCTCTTGTCTTTTCCTTAAATACATCCAGAGTGCAACCACTGCGATCTTGCTAGTGTTGTATTTCACCTGGATTAGTGTCTCGGGAGCTTTTGATATGTATGTTATATTATGTCTCCTCTGTGCAGAATGCTCTAACAACTCTCCAGCCTTCTCAGAGTAAAGCTCGAGTTCCCACAGGAGCAGCCCCGCTTCCTCCTTAGCCTCATTTCCTGCCACTGACTCCTCACTGCTCTGCCCCAGCCACACTGGCCTTTCGGTTCCCAGAACCTGCCAAGCACTTTCCTGCCTCAAGGACTTTGTACTAGTGTTCTCTTTGCCCAGGTAATAGTAAACAAACCATCAGGTTTCTACGGGATAAAGATTATGATAGAGATCATGCAAAGGTTTGGGAGCTGGGGCAGTGGGCACATAGAGAGGGGCCCAGAGAGCCTGGCTGGAGCCAGTCATGAAAGTCACCGAATGTCCCTTAAGCAGTGGGCAGCCAAGGAAGGTGTGTGTGCAGGGCAGGGTTGGGACTAGGGTGAGGTGAGGTACAAATTTAAGAGGATGCAAAAAAACTCAACAATTATGATAAATAATATTTTAATGTAGTCTTTTAAAAACCAAAATTAATGCAAAAGTTCACGATGAACAAAATATCAAACTTTCTTTTTTTTTTTTTTTTGAGATGGAGTCTCGCTCTGTTGCCCAGGTTGGAGTGCAGTGGCTCGATCTCGGCTCACTGCAAGCTCCGCCTACCCGGTTCATGCCATTCTCCTGCCTCAGCCTCCTGAGTAGCTGGGACTACAGGCGCCTGCCACCTCACCTGGCTAATTTTTTATATTTTTAGTAGAGACGGGGTTTCACCGTGTTAGCCAGGATAGTCTCGATCTCCTGACCTCATGATCTGCTCGCCTTGGCCTCCCAAAGTGCTGGGATTACAGGTGTGTAATCCCGGCCTAATATCAAACTTTCAATTAAAGACTGGATCAGGGCTGGGCGCGATGGCTCATGCCTGTAATCCCAGCACTTTGGGAGGCTGAGGCGGGCAGATATGAGTTAGCAGTTTGAGACCAGCTTGGCCGACATGGTGAAACCCCCTCTCTACTAAAAATAAAAATAGAAAAAAATTAGCTGGGCGTGGTGGCGGGTGCCTGAAATCCCAGCTACTCGGGAGGCTGAGGCAGGAGGATCGCTTGAACCCTGGGTGCGGGGGGAGGAGGGCAGAGGTTGCAGTGAGCCGAGTTGGCACCACTTCACTCTAGCCTTGGCGAAAGAGTGAAACTCCGTCTCAGAAAAAAGAGGCTGGATCAGGCAGGGCTCAGACAGGAGAGGGAAGTCCATTGCTTCAACGCTTTACTCACTCTACGCTAGTCTTGGCTGTAGACTGCAGGCTGGTGACTCAAGATCCTTCTGGAGTTGTGGGAGGATGGACTGGACAGGGACACCAAATAATGGGCCAGGAAGAAATTAGGTGGAGAAGCCTGGCCCAGGGCATGGCAGTGGGCTGGACAAGATGTTCCTGGCCTGTGAAATGGTATTAGCAAGTCTTGGTGAGGTAATGGACAGAAACTCCGTGCTTGATGGTGGTGCAAGTTTGACTGAGAGGCAGTTAAAGACCAGGGAAGGGCGGGGCATCAGGGACAGGGGTGGGGCCACATGGAGGAAGGGACACTCACTTGGCTCACGTTGAGGACTGCCCTGAATCGGCCATCTGATCAGGAAGGGTAGCTGCAGCAGGTGGAGAAGCTGAGAGAGAAGGCTGTGCAGATCCTCACATTCTCAGCTGAGGCGGGACCAGGGAAATGAGGCCTTGAGATTAACCCTGGCAACAAGGTCTTGGGGCAGCACTAAGGCCGAGAGGTCAGGGGTTGGGGGGTGGGTCAGAGCCACATTCAGGGTCTGAAGGCTGGGCTGGTAGATTGGGGGTCATCAGGCCAAGGCTAGGGGACGGGATCAGGGCAGGGAAGAAGGGTGGGTCTGGAGACTAAATCTAGCACCCGTCTAGGACTGACCTTCATGTTGGGTTAGCCTTAGCATGGTTGCCTCCTTCCCCTGCAGGGCCAGGTGCGGGTAATGCCAGCCCTCTTCCCCCTCTCCTTGGGGCTGGGACAGTGCATGCCTGTCTTTGGATGTGGCTGGAGTCAGGCTCCTAGGCCCAGGGCAGGGTCCTGTTAGACCAGAGCAGGCCTTGGGTGGGCAGATAGACCTGGTGAATGGTTAACTGTTGTGCTGGGCAGCCACAGCTTGCATCCCACCCCGCTCTGGCCACTCTGCAGTCCCTGCCAGAGCACCTCATGGCCTGCACCCTCAGGTCCTTCCTGATGTGAGCAGCAGAACAGGCACTGGGCATCCTGGGTTCTGTCCTGAACTGCTGATCGTGGCTATCCTTCATCCTGCTCTCATGTGGTCTCCCCAGTGCCATCAGCACTGGCTCCTACCAGCCCAGGAAAGGCAGGAAGGCGTTGGGGAGGAGGCAAGACCTGAGGATGGAGGTTGGAGGAGATCAGACCTCAGTCACTCTCCTGGCTGTGCTTTTCCTTCTGAGGCCTCACTACTGCCAGCCTAGGGCTCTCTAGAGGTAAGATTACTGTAAAGTCCAGAAGTGCTACAGAAAAGTCCAAAAGTGCAACAGAAGAGCTAAGGTTAGCTGAGGGGTTGAACTTCCTGGGCAAGGGCCTAGATGTAAGGTGGCAAACTGCTCTTGCAGCCAGGATCTGGCCTAGGGAGGAGGGGCTATTGCCCCCTGCCCCTGCATTCTTCTCTCCTCCTGTTTCCAGATGTTTGCACCTGCCTCAGGGAGGGGAAGGGCCTCAAAGAAAGCCTTCTTATTGGCTGCCTTCATTTTAGTTCCTTTTACCTTTCCAGGAAAGACTGAAGTGGGAGGAGGAGGAGCAAGACACATAACAAAGGAAACCTTTAAGGGAGCAGAGAAAATGGCAAGGAAGGTAAGGAGTAAGGGGTGTGTATATGTATACACATCCCGAATTCTGCCAAGCTGACTCTCCAGGTTCAAGTATATCTCCTAGCCTTCCTTACCTTGAGAATAATGCATTACTTGCCTTATAGGTTATTGAGGGTTTTGATATGTACAATGTCATGTATCTACCATTATAGTACCATAAAGAATAGTTTCAGTGCCCTAAAAAATCCCCCGTGCTGGCCTACTCATCTCTCTCCTCTGCCTCTGAACCCCTGGCAACCACTGATCTTTTTGCTGTCTCCTTATATTTTTTGATGCTATTGTAAATGGTATTATTTTTTAAATTTCAATTGCTGATTGTTTACTGCTAGTATTTAGAAGCACATTTTTTTTTTTTTTTTTTGAGACGGAGTCTCACTCTGTTGCCCAGGCTGAAGTGCAGTGGTGTGATCTTGGCTCACCGCAACCTCTGCCTCCTGGGTTCAAGTGATTCTTGTGCCTCGGCCTCCCGAGTAGCTGGGATTACAGGTGTGCGCGCCACCACGCACGGCTAATTTTTGTATTTTTAGTAGTGACAGGGTTTTACCATGTTGACCAGGCTGGTCTCGAACTCCTGACCTCAGGTGATTCATCTACCTCGGCCTCCCAAAGTGCTGGGATTACAGGCGTGAGCCACTGCGCCTGGCCACAATCCTTTTGTTTTGTTTTGTTTTGTTTTGTTTTCTTGAGACGGAGTCTCACTCTGTCACCCAAGCTGGAGTGTAGTGGTGTGATCTTGGCTCACTGCAACCTCTGCCTCCTGAGTTCAAGTGATTCTTCTGCCTCAGCCTCCCAAGCAGCTGGGACTACAGGCATGAGCCACCATACCTGGCTAATTTTTGTATTTTTAGTAGAGATGGAGTTTCATCATATTGGCCAGGCTGGTCTTGAACTCCTGACCTTGTGATCTGCCTGCCTTAGCCTTCCAAAGTGCTGGGATTACAGGCGTGAGCCACTGAGCCCAGCCACAATTCCTTTTTTTATATTGATCTTATAACCTGCAACCTTGCTAATATCATGTTTTAGTTGTAGTAGTATTTTTGTAGATTCCACTAGATTTTCTACATAGATAGTCACTGAAAGGTTTTGAACCAAGGGTTGGCTAATGTGGAGTGGCCACTATGTATGGGCCAGAGGGGAACAATGGGATAAATTGTGCCTTTTTTTTTTTTTTTTTTTTAAAGAGATGGGGTCTTGCTATGTTGCCCATGCTGGAGTGCAGTGGCTGTTCACAGGTGTGATACCACTAGTGATCAGCTCCATTTCTGACCTGGAGCGGTTCATCCCTCTTTAGGCAACCTGGTGGTCCCCTGCTTGCAGGAGGTCATCACGCTGAGCTTAGTGCAGACACTCCATCGGCATAGTGCTTAGAACTCCTGAGCCCAAGTGATCCTCCTGTCTCAGCCTCCCAAGTAGCTGGGACTAGAGGCCTGGCTCCATAGTTACTTTTAATGAAGTGGTCTTGGGTGGGTCTGGCCAGGAGTGTGGGGCCCAGGGGAAGCATTTCTCTGAGACCTTACAGGCCCTGCCCTCTACTGGCTGCCATTTCTCCATCTACCTCCTGGTGTGGATATCTAAGAGATATAGCGCTCCTCCTCTCCACCCTCTGCTCCTTCTCAGTCCTCAGGAGGCTTGGAGTGGGACCATCTGCTGTTCCTGTTGCTGCTGCCCCAGTTTCTCTTTCCACCTGGGAGGGAAGGAGAAACAGCGTTCAGGAGTAGAGTTGGGGGATTCTTTTTAGGTATCTGTGCTCAGTCGTCCTACTTTATATCCAAAGCCACCCACTATTTCCAAGAGCTGAGAGTCTCAGGGAGGTTTCCTGGGACTCAGCCAATGTGTGAGAATAGGATTCAGGGGCCCTGGATTTCAGCCTTGGCTCCATCAGGGACCAGCTGCATGACCCTGCCTAAGTCCCTGCTCTCCCCTGGTCTGACCTTTTCTGACAAAAGAAGCTTGGGTGAGGGTGCAGCCCACCTTCTCTCCAGGTCCTTCTCCACCTTTTCACCATGTTGGGCAGTGCCTGGCCAAGGATCTCTGGCAGGAGGACAGGGATGATACTGGCAGCCACAGGGACCACACCATAGATGAATAGAGACAGAGAAGGGTAGAACTCAGCAGCCATGTCCACCAGTAGGCTTAGGATGGTGCCACCATTGGTCGTAGTTGTTGTCATGCTCGGACCCCTCTGCCTATGGGAAGGAGGAGCACCTTGGTGAGGACCGTGAGACTTGTGGGTGCCCTTACAAGTGCCTGCCACCCTGGCTTCCTCTTTTCACATTTGCTACAGGGTCAAATGATCGCATTTAATTTAGCTAAAAGGAAAGGGGGAGCAAATGATTTTGAACCTAGGAAGTCTGGGTTCCAGTTCTAATGTGAACTTACTGTGTGACTGAACAAATTCCCAACCAACCTGTCTCTCCAGCTCCAGGCTACATAGCAAGCTACTCTACATCTTCACTTGGATGTCTAAAAGGCCTCTCAAATTTTGTATGGTCAAGGAACTCTTCATTTCTTCCTCCAAGCTTGCTCCTCCCGCATCTTAGTAAATGGCACGTCTAACCACCTACTTGCTCAAGCTCAAGTATCTAGGAATTATCCTTGATGCCTCCTGTTCCCTTATTTTTCCACATCCAAAATAGGAACTTGGATAGCTGTTCCTCCCAAACTCACAGGGTTAGTTCCCTTCTCTCTATCTCTACAACCTTTGTCCACCACTGATATGGTTTGGGTGTGTCCCCACCCAAATCTCATCTTGAATTGTAACTCTCACAATTCCCATGTGTCATGGGAGGAACCCGGTGGGAGGTAATTGAATCATGGGGGCGGGTCTTTCCTGTGTGGTTTTCATGAGAGTGAATAAGCCTCACCAGATCTGATGGTTTTAAAAACAGTAGTTTCGGCCAGGCGTGGTGGCTCACGCCTCTAATCCCAGCACTTTGGGAGGCCAAGGCGGGTGGATCACCCGAGGTCAGGAGTTCAAGACCAGCCTGGCCAACATGGCGAGACCCTGTCTCTACTAAAAACAGAAAAATTAGCTGGGCGTGGTGGCAGGCACCTGTAATCCCAGCTACTCGGGAGGCTGAGACAGGAGAATCGCTTGAACCCTGGAGGCAGAGGTTGCAGTGAGCCGAGATTGTGCCATTGCACTCCAGCCTGGGCAATAAGAGCGAAACTCCATCTCAAAAAAAAAACAAAAAAAAACAAACAAAAAAAACCCAGTAGTTTCCCTGCACAAGCTCTCTTTTTGACTGCTGTCATCCATGTAAGACATGACTTGCTCTTCCTTGCCTTCCACCATGATTGTGAGGCCTCCCCAGCCATGTGGAACTGTAAGTCCATTAAACCTCTTTCTTTTGTAAATTGCCCAGTCTTGGGTATGTCTTTATCAGCGGCATGAAAATGAACTAATACAAACTTGCCACTTGAGTGATTTTCACCTTTTGCCTGTACTATTGCAGTAGCCTCCTGACGGGTCTTCCCATTTCTACCGTTGACCTTGACTCTGATTCCCTGGTCCCACCCCATTCTCTATGCAAAAGCCAAAGTATTCTCTTAAAACCATAATTCAGATCATTTCACCCTCTGCTTAAAACCATCCAGTGATGTCCCACTGTATTACTAGAATACGATCTGACCTTATTATACGTCCCTATGTGACTGGTCTCTGCCTACCTCTTCTCTTATCTTGTGCCCTGTCCCTTTGTTTACACATTAAAACCATCAGACTTGGTCTTTTTTTTTTTTTTTTGGGAGACGAAGCCTTGCTCTGTCACCCAGGCTGGAGTGCAGTGGCGCTATCTCGGCTCACTGCCACCTCTGCCTACTGGGTTCAAGCAATTCTCCCTGCCTCAGTCTCCCAAGTAGCTGGGATTACAGTCACCCGCCACCATGCCTGGCTAATTTTCGTATTTTTAGTAGAGACGGGGGTTTTGACATGTTGGCCAGGCTGGTCTCTAACTCCTGGACTCAAGTGATCTGCCTGTCTGGGCCTCCCAAAGTGCTGGGGTTACAGACATGAGCCACTGTGCCCAGCCCAGACTTGGTCTTTAACTTGGTCTTTACCTTTGATCTTTACTGAGGAGACTTCCCTGATTGCCCTGATCATTTTATCTAAACTAGCTACCTGATGGTTCCTTCTCTGCACTTCTCTTTTAATGTCAGGTGCAGAGGGTTGAATTAATCATACTTCTCATTTCATGACCCTCTATTTTTGTCTTTGCAATGGCCCCTTGTTTTACCCTTGAATGTTTATTCCCCTTTATCACCATTACCCACTTCTAATTCCCTTCCTGCCAAAGTCAACTAGTGTATTGTGTTTGGTGTGCACTCTTTTATTTGTATATGTTCTTATAAAATGTGTATTGTTGGCTGGGCTTGGTGGCTCATGCTTGTAATCCCAGCACTTTGGGAGGCCAAGATAGGTGGATCACTTGAGGTCAAGAGTTTGAGACCAGCCTGGCTAATGTGGTGAAATCCTCTCTCTACTAAAAATACAAAAATTAGCCAGGCATGGTGGTGTGTGCTTGTAATCCCAGCTACTCAGGAGGCTGAGGCAGGAGAATCGCTTGAACCTGGGGGGCAGAGGTTGCAGTGAGCCGAGATTGTGCCACTGCACTTCAGCCTGGGCAACCCAGCAAGACTCTGTCTCAAAAAAAAAAAAAATGTATATTGTTTTGTGTACAGATATTTTAACTTACCTTAGTGGTATAGGCAATAGATCTTATTCTATTTTTCATTCCATTCAGCACTTCGTTTTAAAGAGATTTTTATGTCGATGGTGTTTACCTGCTGCTGCATACTATGCCATGGTGTGCCTGTCTCCACATTTTACCTAAACACTCATTCCCCTGGCTATGGGGATCTAGATTGTTGCCAACACCCATGACCTCAAACAATACTACAGTGAATGTCCTTATACATGTCTCCATCAGGGCCTTTGTGAGAAGTTCTCTGAGACACAGGCCCAAGAAGGGAATTACTGGAGTG